CAGTTATCAGTAATCAATATATTCATATATGCTCACACATAATCAGGGCTTACAGTATTTTAAAATCCATTTTGAATCAAAGGGAAGCTGTGCCTTAGCTAACTGCAAACTGCTTGAAACAGCAAAGTTAGGAGCCGACCTTTCCCCTACAAACATCTGTGTACCCTGGACAAGGGGAAGACCTGAATCAGAGATACTGGTACAAAATCCCCTCAGATACAGGCTAAATTAATCCACAGAACAGGAAGAGCAAAACCACAAATCTCCAAAACTCCCTGTCCTGTCATAACTAGGGGAGAGGTTAGACAGAGCGTCACTGCAAGCAACGGAAAGCAGAACTGGAACTCCGTGTTTGACCAGTGCTTGACCAGGAGCTGGTTGTGGGATGTAAACACAGGAGCAGTCAATGACAACATTCCTAGAGTGTACATGTTAGAACATGGGGAGGGATGTCTGTCCAGCAAGCAGGTAAACTTCCTGGGGACGGACTTCCTCCGCATGTGACCAGAGGTGGGTGTGGCCTCACCTGTGCAGGTAATGACAAAAGCACAGGGCAGGCAGCCATCTCTCTCTCTCTGCCATTTTCCTTCGATGAGGAAGCATCTAAAGATGCTCTCTTGGCTCTCAGCCAAGAGAGGAGGAAAGGACTATCTTGCTATAAGATAGATTCTGAATGTATGTAACCTTTTAAGCTGTCTGCCTTCTGGGATCATATTGTGAACAGAACGTGAGTAAACTCTTTTATACTTTTATAAAGACTGTGTTGTGTCTTGTATTTTAAGAGGGAACAAAAGGGGAAATTACCAGAGTAATTATTATAGAGGTTCTAGCGAACCTGTGCACACGTTACCGTTGCGAACCTAAAAGGGGAATGTCTATAAACTCTGCTGATATTTTGGGAACTTGTTAGCACAAGTTGGATAAGGATATAATCCCACAATATATCCTCTCCTGCACCCCAGAACATTCCCACAAAGGGTTATTGGCCCCAGTATTGCATATTTCTGCATATTTTGAAGGATTGCGTTGGATTGTGATTTTAAATTGAGTAGTATTTTTCTGAGTTAACTTCCTGGTAAGCACATGATCCTTTGTTCCATTGTGCAGTGGGGATTAAGCAACCCCCCCCTTCCCTCAGAGTTCACAGTGACCCAAGGCAGTGAAGAATTGTTTTGTATTTTGAGATTTTGATTTTAAAATTTTGAGAAATTTTGAAATTTTGAAGAATTTTCAAATTTTGGATTTTAAGATGGCTAGAGCAGCTTTTGATAGTGATGCAAAGCTAGGAATGCCTGTGCTGAATGAATACAATTTCATACACTGGAAGCAGCGCTTGATAGCATGTTTAGATTATAAGCACATTTTGGAAGCTTTAAACCCTCAACCTACGGGATCGTCTGAGGAAGCTTTAGTCAAAATAAGTGCTTGGAAACGCATGAACAGCAAAGCTAGACACATAATTTTGAGTGGACTTCGTGATGAGCAGCTATCATTAATAAATAGTACAGATGATGCATCTCAAATCTTAAGAGATATTGAGCGTGTGTATGGAGAATCTAGCATAAACTGCTTCAGAAACTTGGTGTGTATCCCCATTGCTTTTTATATCGGTCTTGGAGGTTTTGCTCAATATGATTAGAAAAGACCAATTGGTTAAAGGTATACAACTCGGAGCTAAACAGTACAAATTGAAAGCTTTTGCTGACGATTTAGTTTTGACATTACAGGAGCCAGAAGCTAGCACAAAAAGAGTATTACAATTAATCCAAGAATTTGGTCAAGTAGCAGGTTTTAAATTGAACAAGATGAAAACTAAGGTATTAGAGAAAACCTTACAGAGATTGAGAAAGAGAGGTTTCAGAAAGAGACAGGATTAACAATAGTTAACAAAGTGAAATATTTAGGGGTGCATATGACTGCTAAAAATGTGAATTTGTTTAAAGACAATTATGAAAAATGTTGGTCAGAAGTGAAGAAGGATTTAGAAACATGGTCAAAATTGAAGCTATCATTGCTGGGCCGAATTGCTGCGATAAAGATGAATGTATTGCCTAGAATGTTGTTTTTGTTTCAAACATTGCAAATTGTGGATAAAATGGACTGTTTCAAGAGGTGGCAAAGAGATATGTCCAAATTTATCTGGCAGGGCAAAAAGCCTAGAATAAAATTTAAGATATTAACAGATGCGAAGGAAAGTGGGGGATTTGCCCTGCCAGATCTTAAACTTTACTATGAATCAGCCGCATTTTGCTGGCTGAAAGATTGGCTACTTCTTGAAAACGTGGACATTTTGGACTTAGAAGGCTTTGATAATGTGTTTGGATGGCATGCATATTTATGGTATGACAAGGTTAAAGCGCATAAGGCCTTTAAGAACCATATTGTCAGGAAAGCATTGTTTAGTGTTTGGGTGAGATATAAGGATTTGTTGGAAAGTAAAACACCAAGGTGGCTGTCACCAATGGAGGCAAAAGCATTGAAAAAAACTAATATGGAGACAAATTGGCCAAAATACTGTGAAATTTTAGAACAAGTTGGAGATAAACTAAAATTGCAGAGTTTTGACAAATTAAAAACTAAAGTTCGAGATTGGCTTCATTATTATCAAATAAGGGAGGTTTTAACCTAGATAAAAAATTGGTTTCCAGGAGGAAAAATCCAAATTGGAAACGGAATTGTTAGAGCCGAAAACTAAAAATTTGTCAAGAATGTATAATCTGCTGCTGAAATGGAATACACAGGATGAAATGGTTAAGTCTGCTATGATTAAATGGGCACAAGATGTTGGGCATAATATTATGTTTGCTGACTGGGAACGGTTATGGACTACAGGTATGAAATTTACGGCTTGCAATGCCTTAAGAGAAAATATAATGAAAATGATCTATAGGTGGTACTTAACCCCAGTCAAGCTAGCAAAAATCTATCATTTGCCCGATAATAAATGTTGGAAATGTAAAGAAAATGAAGGTACCTTTTCCACCTTTGGTGGACGTGCCCAAAGATCAAGGCCTTCTGGGAAATGATATATAATGAACTAAAAAGGTATTGAAATACACTTTTGTGAAGAAACCAGAGGCCTTCCTCTTGGGCATGGTCGGCCAATTGGTGCGAAGGGAAGACAGAAATTTTTTAATGTATGCGACAGCAGCAGCAAGAATACTCATTGGGAAATATTGGAAGACACAAGAATTGCCTACCCGAGAAGAATGGCAGATGAAAGTGATGGACTATATGGAACTGGCTGAGATGACCGGCAGAATTCGAGACCAGGAAGAAGGGTTGATGGAAGAAGACTGGAAAAATTTAAAATATATCTTCAGAAATACTGTAATATAAAAGAATGTTAGAAAAAGGTTGGAAAAGAATATTAGGCCGTATTGGCAGACATGGTATAATGGAATAAGTAAAAATGAAGTGTAAAATGAGGATAGAGGAGGATTAAATATTTTCGAATGTTAAAATAAGTAAAAGAAAAGAAGGTTAGAAGGATTTGCTGGAGATACGATCTAAACTAGAATACAAAGCAGGGAGGTGAGAGGAAGTCATGGAAATAAGTAAAAGGGAAAAAGGTTGTAAAGGTCTAATTTGATTTTTGTTATTCTTTATTGTGATGCATGTTTATTCTTTGTTGAGTTTTTCTTTTTTTTCTTCTTTTTTATTGTCTGTTTTTTGTAACATGTGTATGGTTTGTTTTTTCTTCTTTTTTTGTAACTTTGAAACTGGAATAAATATTCTATAAAAAAAACAAACAGAAACTTGGTGTGTAAATTAACCAGATTGAGGATGAATTCAAAAGAGGAATTCACAGAGCACATCAACAAGTTTACTGAGATTATTCAAAGAATTGATCTGACTCCCAAAGCTTTTGATGAGGATACAAAGATAGCATTTTTGTTATCATCACTTGGACCACGCTTTAGCGCATTTGTAAGTTTGATGGATCATAGACAAGGTCTGACTTTTAAAGACTTGATTGGTTATTTAAAAGAAGAATGCAGAGATAGAGCTGAATCTCCAGTGAGAAATGCTAGAAGCAAAGACAGTGGTTATGCATCTAGGCAATTTACAAAGTTCAAAGAGATGCCTAAGAAGGTGATTTGGTTCAATTGTAACAAAGAAGGACACATTGCAAAGAATTGCAGGGCTCCTAAAGCAAAGAAACCCCACCCCTTTCAGCCAAAAGTGGAAAAGAAGGGGAAATGTGAATGCACATGGCTACTGCAAGAAAGGAATTTAACTGTCCAGAATCGTGTAAATAAAAGTAATAAATTCATTTTAGATTCAGGAGCATCCTCCCATTTTTGTCATAAAAAGGACTATTCTAATGAAATAAATGATGAAGAAGGATCTGAAATTGAGATTGCAGATGGCAACATTGTTAAAGCAAAAGGTGCAGGTTCCATGAGTCTGAAATGCAATATAAACAATGAATGCATTGAGAACACAATCTCTAGAGTTTTGTACGTACCAGAGCTGAGCTGCAATTTAATCAGCGTGTCCACTTTGGACAAGAAAGGTTTCCAGATCACATTTGGAAATGGAGAATGTAAAGTGACTAGAAATGGCAAAGTGTTTGCTCAAGCAAAGCTAATAAATGGTGTATATGAGCTTGATCTTTCAGAGAACCAGTCTGCAAAAGTGGCACATTCCAGCCAGAAGGATGAGGCAGATCTGGACCTGTGGCACAGAAGGCTTGGACACAGGGACACCAACGTCATTCTGGATCTACAGAAAAGAGATCTTGTAAGAGGTTTGCAGGTAAAGCAGAGCAACAAAGCTCCAGCAAAGTGCATAAGCTGTATTACTGAGAAGGCTGTAAAACCTTCATTTCCACGTTGTGCAGAACAAAGAAGCAACAAAGTGCTTGACATAGTGCACACTGACATATGTGGACCCATGAATGTTCCCTCACTGGGAAAGAATAGATATATTTTAATATTTCTGGATGACTTTTCAAGATTTTGTGTTGTATATTTCCTCAAAGAGAAGAGTGAAACAGTGGAGAAGCTCCAGGAATACATTGCCATGGTCAAGAATAAATTCCAGAGAGCTCCAGCTGTGTTAATGAGCGACAATGGAGGTGAGTACTGCTCAAATGAAATGCAGGCTCTCCTGGCCAAGGAAGGAATTGCACACGTAACCACAATTCCTTACACACCACAGCAGAATGCCATAGCTGAGAGAAAGTTTAGATCCATTATGGACATGACAAGGTGCATGCTAAAGGATGCATGTTTGCCACAGAAGCTGTGGGCCGAAGGAGTATACACATCGGTCTATTTGCAGAATAGACTGCCAACTAAAGGAGCAGAGCGCACACCATTTGAACTTTGGCATGGGAAAGCTCCCAATCTGTCGCACATACGTGTGTTTGGAAGTCCGTGTTACTTCCACGTGCCCAAGGAACACAGACACAAGCTTGACTCCAGGGCAAAAGCAGGTATCCTTGTGGGATATGCTTCTGGAGGCAAAGGATACAGAATTATGGACTTACAAACTGGTAAGACAAATGCATACCATGCGGTTTATTTTGATGAATATGGAAAAGTAGACACTAAGAACACTGTTGTGGATTCTTCAGATGAGTCAGAAAGGACTCAAGAGTTTGTATATTTCCCTTTTGAGACCCCACAAAGTAATTATCTGCCTTCGAGTGTTACAGCGCCCCTACAGGCGACGCACCAGAAGACGCAGAGGACCAGAACCCTGGCGGCACCAGAGACGAAGATGAGGACTCAGATGGGGACATGCCTGCGTTGGAGGAGGATGAGGAAGCTGATGCGGTCGCACAACCAGAGGTCAGGATCTCATCCAGAACCAACAAAGGTGTCCCACCATTACGGTTGTCCTACTTTGCAGGGTCGGCGTTTCCACAGGAACCTTCCACTTGGGAAGAGATACAGGAGATGCCAGCTGCAGAAGCCAGTCTCTGGAGGAAGGCCGCGCAGGAGGAGATGGATGCACTGCATCAGAACAAGACCTGGACACTCACTGAGCTGCCTCCCGGTAAGAAGGCCATTGGCAGTAAATGGGTTTTCAAGGTTAAGAAGGGGTCAGAAGGAGAAGTGCAGCGCTACAAAGCTAGACTTGTAGCACAGGGATTTTCACAGCGTTTTGGTGAAGACTATGATGAAGTTTTTGCACCAACTGTGAGGTACAGCAGCGTAAGAATGCTTTTAAGCATTGCAGCCTCCAAGAAAATGAGGGTGAAACACATTGACATTGCTACCGCTTTTCTACATGGGCAGATTTCTGAGGAAATTTATATGAAACAGCCTAAAGGTTTTGTAAAACCACATGAAGCACATTTAGTGTGCAAACTCCAGAAAGGACTTTATGGACTTAAACAGGCTGCCAGAGCCTGGAACCAGAAGTTGCATAAAATGCTGACGCAACTTGGGTACAAGCAAGGCGACGCTGACAAATGCTTGTACAGTAAGTCAAATAATGGACAATTCTCATATATTTTAGCTTTTGTTGATGACCTGATTATTGCCACAGCAAGTGAGAGAGACTATACACAGATAGTAAAACACCTTAGCAAAGAGGTGGAGGTCAAGGAGCTAGGAGATGTCCAGTACTACCTCGGGATCCAGGTGGAAAGAGAAGAGGACGGCTCATTTCTTCTCAGCCAAAGACAGAAGATCCACGAGCTAGTTGAGCACATGCAGATGCAAGACGCACATCCAGTTGCTACACCGATGGCTACTGACTTCCTGAAGAATCAGCAGGATTCGAAGCAGTTGCCAGACAACAATGACTACAGGTCGGCGATTGGTAAACTTTTGTATTTAGTTACCACATGTAGACCTGACTTAGCTAATGCTGTGGGGATTCTTAGCAGAAAAGTTAATTCTCCCACTGAGCATGATTGGGCAGGTGTAAAGAGGGTGGTGCGATATTTGAAGGGTACCATGAATTGTAAATTAAGGTTACCAGCCGTCAGAGACCCTAAGTTGGTTGGGTATACTGATGCGGATTGGGCTGGGGATAATGCTGATTATAAATCAACAAGTGGTCATGTTTTCATGTTTGGGGATGGACCTGTTGCATGGGGCAGTTATAAACAGAGCTGTGTAGCATTATCTTCCACAGAATCAGAATACGTTGCAGCAACAGAAGCCTGCAGAGAGATCGCCTGGCTTGATCAACTCATAAAGGACTTTGGGTTGGTGAGAAAAGGGCCTGTCAGCTTGCTAGAGGACAATCAAAGTTGCCTGAAGCTGACGCAGAGTGAGAAGTTCCTGGCCAGAACAAAACACATTGGGGTTAAATACCACTACATACGCCAGATGATCCAGGATGGACTTGTGGAACTATCCTACTGCAGCACCCAAGAGATGACTGCTGACATCCTGACGAAACCCCTACCAAGAGAGAGTTTCCAGAATCTACGTGTCAAGCTGGGACTCTGGGTGGTTGAATAAAGTTGTTTATGTTTTGTATATGTTGTATTGCCTGAGAAGGGGTATGTGGGATGTAAACACAGGAGCAGTCAATGACAACATTCCTAGAGTGTACATGTTAGAACATGGGGAGGGATGTCTGTCCAGCAAGCAGGTAAACTTCCTGGGGACGGACTTCCTCCGCATGTGACCAGAGGTGGGTGTGGCCTCACCTGTGCAGGTAATGACAAAAGCACAGGGCAGGCAGCCATCTCTCTCTCTCTGCCATTTTCCTTCGATGAGGAAGCATCTAAAGATGCTCTCTTGGCTCTCAGCCAAGAGAGGAGGAAAGGACTATCTTGCTATAAGATAGATTCTGAATGTATGTAACCTTTTTAAGCTGTCTGCCTTCTGGGATCATACTGTGAACAGAACGTGAGTAAACTCTTTTATACTTTTATAAAGACTGTGTTGTGTCTTGTATTTTAAGAGGGAACAAAAGAGGAAATTACCAGAGTAATTATTATAGAGGTTCTAGCGAACCTGTGCACACGTTACTGTTGCGAACCTAAAAGGGGAATGTCTATAAACTCTGCTGATATTTTGGGAACTTGTTAGCACAAGTTGGATAAGGATATAATCCCACAATATATCCTCTCCTGCACCCCAGAACATTCCCACACTGGTAGCGTGGCAAGAAGCTTGCTAATTGGCTAATTTTCGCTGACAATATCGTGAGTCCCTCATGGTTGTCTCATGATCTATGATTTGCTGTGATCTGCTCAGGTATAAAGACCTCTGGATTTCTGTCAATCGGGGTCCCAGTTCCTTTTGGAAGAGATTCCAAACTGGGTCCTTATTGCCTGGCAATAAACTTCACCTTCTTATTCTCCATTGCTGAGTCTGCCTGATCCATATTTAACACCAAGCGAGTACCTGCTTACGTTCACGTGCTTCACCGCCCTCCCCGGCCAAACCAGGCTCAAGGCGGCTAACATTAAAGTATATAACACATTAAAACATAAAATCCAGCAGTCGACTGAAATACATCTTAAAATCAGAATAAATTAGAATAAATCAGATGGCAACCCACAATTTATAACTATAGGGGTTGGGAACATTAAGTGCTCACCAGGCTCAGCTATTTGTATGAGCCAGTGAGAAGCATTGGAGAGGCCACTTATATGCAAGGTCTTGTAGAAAGAGGGGGGTCAGACTAGACCCCAAACAAAGGTCTGGCAGAACAGCTCTGTCTTGCAGGCCTTGTGTCAAGTCCCGCAGGGCTCTGGTCTCTTGCAACAGAGCGTTCCACCAGACTGGGGCCAGGGCCAAAAAGGTCCTGGCTCTGGTTGAGGCCAGTCTAACCTCCTTGAGGCCCGGGACCTCCAAGCCGATTCCCCGAAGCCTGACAGATATTGTCACCCACAGGTCTGACATTCATGTCACCAAAATTTCTCAGGGCTCTTCCTGGAGCAGAATTGGAATCTGCCACCCAATATGTCCCTCTGATCTTACATCATCTCCATCCCAGTCTTCATTGGGGAGTTGGGTCTGTTTTGCCTGGAGAAGAGAAGACTGAAAGTTGATATGATAGCTACCTTCAAAGATCTCCATCTGCCTCCATGGAAGATGGAACTAGCTTGTTTTCTGCTGTTCTAGAGTGTAGGACATATAGAACCAATGGATTCAAATGGCCAGAAAGGAGACTCCAACTAAACTTTAGGTAAAACCTCCTGACATTAAGAGCCATTTGACTACTTCAGAAGGTGGTGGACTCTTCTTCAGTGGAGGTTTTTAAATGGACATTGGAGGACTATCAGGGATTCTTTGGCCGTGATTCCTGAATTTCAGGGGGCTGGACTAGATAACCTTGGGGTATTATCCATCTCTACAATTCTCTGATTCTAATGCCATCAAGCTTTCTCAGGGCTCTTGCTTCAGAAAAACTGGGATCTGCCCTCCTATATGTCCTTCTGATCTTACATCATCTGCATCCCAATCTTTTTGCATACTTTTATTTATCTCTGTGCCTTTCAAATAACTAACCATCATGCCGGGATCTGATCCTCCTCGGATTCTTAATTGACTTGCTGTTGCAAATGATGCCTATCATCTCCTCTCTACAGCTTGCATCAACTATAGACTAATTTAGGGCCTGAAAGCTTCCATTTCTTTCCCTCCCAGCCTGACTAATTTACTGTTCACCATAAAACTTCTGTCCGTATGCAGAAATGTATGTTCCTCTTCACCTCTCTGTAGCAGGAGAGGAAATACAGAGAAGAGAAGGCGCTGCAAAGGCACAAAATATTTCACTGGTTTTTGGCATGCTGACATATGTTCCCCATTCGTAACATTGTCTCGGATTTCTACTTGTTGCGCCATTATTTTTTGTGAAGTTGCTGACCCTGTCCCTGTGAGTTATAGTTGCCTATTCAGTCCACATTTTTCTCTGAGCTCACCAGCTATAATTTTTATAGGATCCTATATTTGTACATTTTAGGGTTGGCCGGAAGCCATTTGCCCAAATAATTCTGCTAGAAAAAGGCTGTTTAGACACCGATCATCAGCTTAGTCAGCATCAATCGGGGCTTTTTTTCAGCTGGAACTTGCCGGAACTTAGTTCCAGCACCTCTCAGGTGGTCGCCATCGCCATTACAGTGGTACCTTGGTTCTCAAACTTAATCCGTTCCGGAAGTCCATTCCAAAACCAAAGCGTTCCAAAACCAAGGCGCGCTTTCCCATAGAAAGTAATGCAAAATGGATTCATCCATTCCAGACTTTTAAAAACAACACTCAAACAGCAATTTAACATGGATTTTACTATTGAACAAAGCGATTGATCCATAAAATGAAAGCAATAATCAATGTACTGTACTATAAAATAAAAAAGGCAGTATTGTAGATGATAAAAATTTTTTTTAAACAATTTCCTTACCTGCACTGATGATGATCATTGTTTGGATGGGGGGCTTTTATCCATTTCTGCAGTCACACAATCAACCCATCAGTAGCTGAACTGGGTTCCACACAGTCACAAAAACAAATGAACCAAAAAAAGCCTCAAAAACAAAAAGGCAAAATAAATAGCAACAACAAAAGAGCCAAACTTAATCAGTTCTGGAAGTCCGTTTGACTTCCAAAATGTTTCTAAACCAAGGCACGACTTCTGATTGGTGCAGGCACCCCAGAAACAATAGCCGACAGCCGCATTGGAGGTTCAGCTTCCGAAAAACATTCGAAAACCATGGGTTTTTGGCGTTTGAGAACCAAGGCATTTGAGTACCAAGGTGTTTGAGAACCAAGGCACCATTGTGTAAGAGAGCAAGGGAGGTGTTCATAGTGACCTATGGCACCTCTTTTTCTAGAAAAATAGCACTGGTCTGTCAATCATAGGTTGTTCATTAGGCTTTCTTGCACCATCCTTTCCCTCATGTCAACACTGGGTGGGGTTCATATGCTGGAGGAGCATACAAGTGAGGGTAGTTTTATCAAACCTTGCTGTATGACCACAGCATGCGGCTGGAAACTGGCTCTGAAAACTGGAGTGATTAGATGTTCCTATTTTAAAACTCACTTGCCTGAGCTTGTTTGATCAGGGTAATTTGGTTCCAGTTCTGTTGATTGACAGGTCTTCTAGTTATTATGTTTTCATAAATATAACCTGTTGCCCATGCTTTAGTTTGTCTTGAGACTGCTTCGGTGAGATGGCAATCTGCCCAGCAGGACACCCCTGTTCTCTTGAATTATCTTTCCCCCCCTGTTGTTGTTGTTTAGTCGTTTAGTCGTGTCCGACTCTTTGTGACCCCATGTGCCAGAGCACGCCAGGCACTCCTGTCTTCCGCCTGCAGTTTGGTCAAACTCATGCTGGTAGCTTTGAGAACACTGTCCAACCATCTCGTCCTCTGTCGTCCCCTTCTCCTTGTGCCCTCCATCTTTCCCAACATCAGGGTCTTTTCCAGGGAGTCTTCTCTTCTCATGAGGTGGCCAAAGTATTGGAGCCTCAGCTTCAGGATCTGTCCTTCCAGTGAGCACTCAGGGCTGATTTCCTTCAGAATGGATCGGTTTGATCTTCTTGCAGTCCATGGGACTCTCAAGAGTCTCCTCCAGCACCATAATTCAAAAGCATCAATTCTTCAGCGATCAGCCTTCTTTATGGTCCAGCTCTCACTTCCATACATCACTACTAGGAAAACCATAGCTCCCCCCCCCCACCTTCTATTTTTTAACCATCTTATTTTGTGTCTGCTACTCTTATCTTCCCCTTTTATTTGTGTGCAACAAAGCAGAGATCTCCTTGCATCCCTCCTGGCTCCATTTGATGACTTCCACCGCCTCGCTCATTCACATGGCCACCTTCCTCAGGAGTTTGCAGGAAACAGACATTTCTGGCAGTACCACACTTTGGGCAACATACTTTTATTATAACTTGGGAGCAGCAAATAATACTGATCATTAGATGGCCTGATTGTCAGCTGACCCCTAATTCCAAATGTGATTTCTTATATGTTTGGTGAAAATGTTGCAAGGGCGGAAACATCCCAGAAAGCGGTCACAGACACAGTTTATGAAATTATATGTGTTGGTTCACCTTTGCATCCATTGGTATCCTTCAAAACTCTACAAAGCAAATAGCATCTGTGGAAAATTACAGTGCAGTCTTGTATGCATTGATCTTTCAGTGTGGTACCACCTGTTCGTTGGAACTCCCTGCCCATTTAATATTAGGCAGGGAGCGGTGCTGCTTTGGCAGCAGCTAAAAAACATCTCCCCTCCCTTCAGCAAGCCCACCCAGTCCTATGCAATCATAGAATTGTAGAGTTGGAAGGGACCCGGGCCCAACCCTCTGCAATGCAGGAATCTCGATTATTGTGTATAGTAGTTTTAAGATTGCTGAATACACACACACACACACACACACACACACACATGTTAAATTGTTTTTAATGTTTGCTTTTAAAAAAATACATTTTCATTAAAGATTTCTTGGTTTACAAAAGTGTGTGCAA